ACACAAATTAGTTAGTGACGTGGATTGTCAAATTATGATGTGGATTTAATAATTAAAATTTATATCAATTGTAACAAAATTAAACAAGGGTGTTTATTGTAATTTACTAGGAGTCTGAAAACATTCTAGTAATTTTTAGAAAATATATACTATTCTAGTCATATACAAGCTTTTGTGTATCATTCTAGTAATTTTCTCAAAATATAACTCGATTAAATCATTCTACGGTTCTATTTTCACTTTCCAAAAGGAGCTATAGACACGTGTACCAAAGTAGGGCACTGAAACAGTTATTTACCACAAGTACGCCTTTGACATGGTTAACTGTAATGGGAATCTCCGAATTAACTTCTTGGTCCTTCAACTTCATCAAATGTTGCAAAAAATCTTTGCATACATCATCATCCTTACATCCTAGCTTTTGCATCTGCTCGATGGCTCCATCGAATATGGCATCGAGCTCATGAGCACACACACGCATCTGCTTCACAAGCCCTTGAAGATCGAATCTAGCTAGCCATGGAAAAAAATCTGATACATTAGGCTCACTCAAAAGCCTAACTATCTCAGAAATGACTCCTTTAAATTCTGTTCCAACACTCTCCATATTCTCTGCTTTCACCGTTCCTCCCCACAACATATTCATCGTTAGATTCATCATCGTCAAGAACAATTGGTCTCCGACATCCACCGCCGATTTCTCTTGACTTTTATCATATAAAAATCTCGTTCTTTCACGGACTTCTTTGCGTCGAAGCTCGTAGAAAGAATCCAACGTTTTGCGGCTAAGAAGCTTGAGAACGCAAACTTTTCTAAGCATTCTCCATGCAGCACCGTATGGTAACCAAACGATGTCGAGACCACCATAAGTAGCGGCCCGGCCAGTGAGAGGGACATCTCGGTTTGAGAAATTGATGTCTTGGTCTTTCAAGATCTCTCGAGCCAGCGATGGAGAGTTGACAACAACGGTTAGTTTTGAGCCGAGTTTGAGTTTGAAGATTGGACCGTATTTCTCAGCGATAGTTGTGAAGTATGTGTGAAGGTCCGGGTCAAGAAACGGGAGATTTCCGACAATAGGTAACCCTCGCGGTCCAGGTGGTAGAGGCGGTTGTGGCGAGCGCTTGAAGAGGTACCAGAGAACTGTCAAGATAGTAGTGAGAATGAGAATTGCGTTAGGAGTAATATTGATTGTGTTGGTAAAGAGATCTGAGATAGAAGACATCATTCACAGCTGTTTTGTTTATAGGAACTAGGAAGTATGAGATTGTCAAAAGTACTTTATAGAGATAAGGACGATACTTAGAGATAAAGCTAACTTATATATTGTCATTATCCATCATATGTAAATCTCCTTAGGATTAGGATCCGATACCTTGTATATATACGTTACTTTGCTATCAATACAACACACACTTTCCTATTGATTTCATGGTATCAGAGCTTAAACGATCTTTGACCTAATTTTTTTTTTTCCGCATCTATTCTCTTCTAAAAATCCACGTGATTGTTAATCAACTTTCATGGCTTCTACTACTTCCTCTGCAACGACCGATACGTCGGCGTCTACTACTTCTGCTACTCCTACAACTATTCCATCGGATAGTCCTTACTCTCTACATCCCTCTTTTAATCCTGGTACATTAATCACACCAGTGGTTCTTAAAGGCGATAATTATTCTGAATGGGCAACCGAGTTCTGGAACTCTCTTCAAGCAAAACAAAAGATTGGGTTTATTGATGGCACAATTCCTAAACCATCCGCAAACCCTGATCTTGCTCGATGGATCGCAGCCAACTCTATGATAGTCGGTTGGATCCGTACTTCTATTGACCCTACTGTTCGATCTTCTGTGAGTCACGTTCCTGACGCTTCTCAGCTTTGGGAATCACTTAAGCGACGTTTCTCGGTGAAGAACAGCGTCCGTAAACACTTACTGGAGAATGAGATCACCAACTGCAAACAAGACGGTGATAGTGTTCTCAATTATTATGGACGGCTTTCTAAATTATGGGAAGAACTACAAAATTTCTCTTCTCCTTACTCATGCACTTGTGAAGCCTCATCGCATATTGACAAAGAACGCGAAGATGCTAAAGTGCACAAATTTCTGTTTGGCCTTGATGATTCACGGTTTAGCTCCATCAGATCTCAAATAATTGATGAGGAGCCATTACCGGATCTTAACTTAGCTTATTCTCGAGTGATCCGTGCGGAGCAGCATCTACTTACTATGCGTACATCTGAAGTCAAACAAGACGCACTCGGTTTTGCTGTAAAAACAGATCTCTCACCTTCTGCCTCGTCTGCAACACCTCGAAGCCGTGATCCTAACCGCTTTTGTACACACTGCAACCGGAAGGGCCATGAAGCTTCAGAATGTTTTCTGCTACATGGATATCCAGATTGGTTCAATGAACAACAAAAATCATCTGGACAGTCTCAACGCGGCCGAGGAGGAAGAAGCAATAGCCGTGGTAGAGGCCGGGCTAATGTTTCTCGAGCTGCATCTTCGACTTCATCTTCCGATGCCATTGCTTCTCCAGACCAGATTAATGCATTAATCAAGCTTTTGCAGAATCAGCAATCTCAACTCTCAACTGATCGTATGACGGGTAAACCTCTCTTAACTGATGTTATCATTGACACAGGGGCATCCCATCACATGACCGGTGACATAACACTATTACACGACGTCCACGACATTGTATCTTCCTCTGTTACTTTTCCAGATGGTCGTCATTCTCAAGCAACTAAATCGGGCACCTTATACTTAAACGCATCATGCTATCTCCTTGATGTGTTATATGTTCCCAATTTTAACTGCACATTGATCTCAGTCTCTAAACTTCTCCAACAGACTGGTTGTGTTGCAATCTTTACTGATACTCTATGTGTTTTACAGGACCGTTTCACGAGGACCCTGATTGGAGCCGGTGAAGAGCGAGGTGGTGTGTATTATTTCACGGGTGTAACAGTCGCACGAGCCAATAAAGCCGGGAAAGACAAAACATCTTCTTCAGCACTTTGGCATCGACGATTTGGACATCCCTCTCATAGTGTTTTATCTACTTTACCTATTTCCGACAATGTTGCTTTGGATTTTGATCACACCAAGCCGTGTGATATTTGTTTTTTATCTAAACAAACACGTGAAGTGTTTCATGACAGTTCTAATAAAGCAGTTCAACCTTTTGCATTAGTTCATTGCGATGTATGGGGTCCTTATAGAACTCCAGCTTCCTGTGGAGCAGTATATTTTTTAACCATTGTTGACGATTACTCTAGAGCAGTATGGATTCATCTCATGCTCGAAAAGTCTGAGGTCTCTACGCTGCTACAAAATTTTTGTGCCATGACTGTTCGCCAATTTGGTTTACCAGTCAAGACATTTCGTACCGACAACGGGACAGAGTTTATGAAACTTAAATCCTTTTTTCGGCAGCAAGGCATCATTCATCAAACTTCTTCTGTCGATACACCTCAGCAGAACGGACGCGTTGAGCGCAAGCATCGTCACATCCTCAACGTAGCTCGCGCGTGTCTGTTCCAAGCTAACCTACCTGTTACTTTCTGGGGCCAGAGTATCCTCACAGCTGCTCATCTGATAAATCGTACACCATCACGGATTCTCGACGGCAAAACTCCGTATGAACTACTCCATGGATCTCCTCCTACATACGACACACTACGGGTCTTTGGGTGTCTCTGTTTTGCACAGAAACGACCTAGAGACAAAGATAAATTTTCTCCTCGAAGTCGTAAGTGTCTATTCGTTGGTTACCCCTACGGCAAGAAAGCCTGGAACGTCTACGATATTGAGAGCAACGAATTTTTTATAAGTCGTGACGTTATCTTCTTCGAAGATCAGTTTCCCGGCGTCAATGATCAACAACCAAATCTCCTACTCACACCTCCAACTGCGATATTCGATGACTTTACAGACACAATCTCAGTCCCTTTACCCGTCACTGAACCTTCACCATCTCCTCCTCTGCACACTGAACCTCCGGCGGCTACTTCTCCATCAAATCCGGCGGCTACACCGTCATTCGACAATCCTCCACCTTCTCCTCCTACTACACCGTCTTCAAGCGTTGATAAAACTTCGGCCGCTATCCCTGTCCCTGAAGTTTCGTCTCCGCCTGCAACTTCTTCGCCACCTTCGGAGTCATCTCCGACTACACCTAACATCGAATCACCACCGTCTCCTGGCCTTCCTGAACTATTAGGACGTGGTCATCGTCAACGCCAACCATCAATCCTACTGAAGAACTACGTTACCAACACTGTTCACCTGGATAATATACACACTCCTCTCGCTCCTCCCGAATCCTCTCTAGGCTCCTCTGCTTCGGTTCCAGGTAACACATCGTATCCCATTGCAAATTATGTATCTGACGCTGCTTTCTCTTCGAGCCACAAGGCGTTTATTGCAGCTGTCACTACTGCTGTTGAACCTAAGAATTATAATGAGGCAGTACAACATGAGGCTTGGCGAAACTCTATGGTTGACGAACATTCTGCTCATATAGCCAATGGCACTTGGGATGTTACTACCTTGCCTCCAGGAAAGAAAGTCATTGGAAGCAAGTGGGTTTACAAAATTAAATATCACTCGAATGGTAAACCTTTTCGAAACAAGTCTCGACTTGTTGCACTTGGAAACCGTCAACGTGAACGCCTTGACTACTCCGATACATTCGCTCCTGTGGCCAAACCCTCTACAGTACGTGTTCTTCTCGAAGTAGCTGCAGCAAAACAGTGGGAAGTACACCAAATGGATGTACACAATGCTTTTCTACATGGAGATTTGGAAGAAGAAGTCTATATGAAACTTCCACCAGGTTTTCAAGGTTCTGATCCGACTAAGGTTGCTCGTCTACGGAAATCTATCTACGGGCTGAAGCAGTCTCCTCGTTGCTGGTTCTCAAAACTAAGCAATGCACTTAAACAATACGGCTTTCTACAGAGTAAACCAGACTACTCTCACTTCTCCTATATTCGAGGGAAAATCAGTCTCCACATTCTGATATATGTCGATGATTTCATCATAGCAAGCAACGATCTCTCCACTCTTCACAAGTTCAAAAGCTATCTCAGCCAATGTTTCCATATGAAAGACCTTGGAAAATTGAAATATTTTCTTGGCATTGAGGTTGCTCGCAACAGAGAAGGTATTTTTATCTCACAAAGAAAATATGCTCTTGACATTATAGCAGATGCTGGTTTACTCGGCTGCAAGCCTTCTCCGGTCCCGATTGAGCTCAACCACAAGTTAGCTCTTTCCGACAGTCCTCCTTTACCCGATCCTGCACCATATAGGCGCCTCATCGGGCGCTTAATCTACCTCACATTTACGCGTCCAGAACTCTGTTATGCTGTTCATATCCTATCTCAATTTATGAAGACACCGCAACAGGCACATTGGGAAGCTGCTCAACGGGTTATTCGCTATCTCAAAGGTTGTCCCTCACAGGGAGTACTGTTACGATCAGATTCCGATCTCCGAGTCACGGCGTACTGCGACTCAGATTGGAGTTCCTGTCCTCTTACCCGACGTTCTTTAAGCTCCTATATTGTCCTCCTCGGTACATCTCCAGTGTCTTGGAAGACAAAGAAACAGAACACGGTCTCAGCATCTTCAGCAGAGGCTGAATATCGGGCAATGGCGTATACTTTGCGCGAACTTAAGTGGATGAAGCGCATTCTGGCCTCATTTGGCGTGGAACATAAGGAACCGATGAGGATGTTCTGTGACAGTCAATCAGCTATCTACATTGCAGCTAACCCTGTCTTCCATGAACGAACTAAACACATAGAGAACGACTGCCATCAAGTTCGCGACGCTGTTCAAGACAAACTCATTACTACGGAGCACATTTCTACTACGGAGCAACCTGCGGATCTTCTAACAAAGTCTCTACCTTCTACTACTTTCACTTATCTCCTGTCCAAGTTAGGCATTCAAGACATCTCATCGCCAACTTGAGGGGGGGTATAGAGATAAGGACGATACTTAGAGATAAAGCTAACTTATATATTGTCATTATCCATCATATGTAAATCTCCTTAGGATTAGGATCCGATACCTTGTATATATACGTTACTTTGCTATCAATACAACACACACTTTCCTATTGATTTCATATTTGTACAGTCTTTTTTCTATACTGTTTCGACATAAACCATCACCTCACCTTCACTTTCTTATATACAATAAA